TGGAAAGCATTATGCAGAACTTCCTGTGGAATTCTAATGCCTTCCTAACTCTGTAAATGTTGGTGATGAGAGTGAGTCTTCTGCTCAAAGATCTAGCTTTTCTCTTTATCACAGTTCCTTTGTTAGGAGTCCCATAAAACACTATGCCTTTTCTTTCTGTGAAAGTACAAGATGATATCAATTGCAACCAAATTTAGTACATAAACACTTACTGAGGACCTGCTGTTGGCAAGGCACTGTGCTACACACATAGGGATATGAAAATTAAATAATTAAAGCATAGAACATTTTTCTTTTTAAGTGTCAGGGCAATACTATTCCATAGCTTTCAAACTTTGTAATGAGAATTATTTTTTTTAATAAATATTCTTAGATGTAGGGCCCTTGAAAGAGAAGACAAAAATACCTCTGTACGATCATCCAGACTTGTCAGCCTAGGATTTCAGTCTCCATTCAGATCCTCTTTTGTACCCCATATCTGTTGAGCTTTCTTTTTCCTTTACCTCAGCCAAACCAGCCTGCTTGCCAATCTCTGCACACAACTAACTCTTGCTTCTGTGCCTTTGCTTGACTAATTCTTCTGCTCCTAGGATGCCTTTATCCTCATGAATCTATGTCCATCACTGCCATCACAGTCTGGCCCTGAGTCCACCTCCTGCAAGGAGCCTGTGACAGCATCCCTATCTCGCCCTGTGTCCTTCCCACATGTACATAGCCCAGTTGATGGTGGAATAACATTTCTGTGGCATTCATTAATGCTTCCCATTCTCCATCTACATCTTGCTGATCTAGATATAACCTCTTATTAAATGAAACAGTCTAGTATATAACCAGGTCATTCATCAGACCTATTTGGAGTAAGTCTCTATATCAAAGATTTCATTTGGGTATTTGCGAGGTGTTAGTTGTATGATAGAGAAGAAGATCAGAAATGGTGAGATGGGAGTTTGAGAAGTAAGCCTGGGGTCCAGCAGGGAAAAAAAGGTCATAGGTCTGTGAGAGATCCTCTCTCCTTTCACTCCCAAACAGGACAAGAAGTTTCCTTTAAACACATTTCAGTTACAATAAGGGTGTATTGACGGACTGTCAAGCTAGGGGAAGCAGGGCTCTGCCTGTCAATCATCTCAAGCTTGTTGATCTGCTGTTCTGTAATTCTTTTAATATTGTTTAATGTGTGTGTGTTTTATCTTCTGAACTGACTAAAAGCTTCTTGAGGACAGGGACCATGTCTTTTATTTGCTTCTGCATATTCATCCCCCACTTATTCCCAGAGTGCCCTAACAAGCTTGGGGAAGCCTCCAATAAGCACAGAAAGACAGGAAAATCAACTTGCAGTTCCAACCACATTCCAAGCCATTACACTACAGTATTTACGTATAGTGAAAATATATGCCTTCGTGACAACTCAGTGAGGCAGGTATTTCTATCCCAATTCTACAGATAAGGAAATTGAAGAGAGCTCAAGGTCTTACTGGTAGTGACTGGCAGACTCAGGATTAGAACCTAGATCTGTCCACCTTCAAAACTTGTATGTGCCTTTCACTGTACCATAATCATAACAACTAATATTGAGGACATCTTTGCAGCTCACAGGACTCTTTGATCTACACCATTGTTGTTATTGCTACCACTACTAGTTCTATTACAGTTACTTCTTACATCATCACTGGGAAGGAGGTAGAACTAGTATTATCATTATCCCCACTTCACAGTTGGGGATACTGAGACTCAGCCTTGCCCAAGATCACACAGCTGGTAAGTGGAAGAGCCAGGCCTTCAAACAGACTTTCCAGACCCCAGATTTTTTTTTTTTTTTTTTTTTTTTTTTTTTTTTACACTGTATCACATCGCTGCCTTAATTCATTTGCACAAATGCAGGACTCTGTGGCCAGTTAATCACTGATGCCTCTCTGACAGAGGTGTCTAGAAGTCCAAGCATCACATGGAACCCTCAGAGGAGTCTTCATGTAGTGGAGGGTGATACAAAGGACCCAAAAAATAAATGCTTGAGAATAATAGTTCATAAGTGAGAATTGACAAGTTCCTATAATTATATATATATTATATATCCCATAGACAAGTTCCTATAATTTGGCCATGAGACTTTTGGAATGTTCCTAATTACTTCCATCATAAAATTGGAGTAGGGATGAAACAGATGAACTTGATTTGAAAATATTCCTCCTAGGTGTGGACACGCTGGTAGCTAGCCCAGCATCATCGTGCTGTCACAGAAGTGGAGTCACGTTGGTAGTGGTTTGGGGCAAGGGCGTATCCACCCAGCGTCCCATTGCGATCTCTGTAGAATTCCTCTAGGCCCATCCAGGGTCCTGCTTCTGCCTACCCCAACCCTTCACTCCCTACCCCAACTTACTGTACCCTCTTCCACCAGCCCCTTTAGACCTTTGAACTTTCTTATCCCTCAGTGTTTTATTCCCAGCAGGCTGTCAGTAAATAGTGTCCAGTATCACAAAATCCTTCAGCACGATCAGTTAGAACTAGGAAGCTATGTTGTAAAAATGCAGATGTGTGTGTGGTGTATATTAGTGCCAGAGAGTTTTCGTGAAGCAGATTGTTTGTCTTGCTTTTCACTAGACATTTCTACCTGGTTGTCATGCAAGGGCTTCAAGCTCTTCATGTCCTGAAAGAGGTCAGCATCTCCCCCGCCCCAAATCTACTTCATCTGTGGTGTTCTTGCTCCGGTGAATTGTATCCCCATCCTCTTGGTCATCTGAGCTGGAAGCCACAGGGACACTCCACTCCCTAGTCTTTCCTTCATCAATCCTCAGCCCTTCCAGTGGGTCACAGCCCAAGTCCAGCGTCCTGTCTCCTGTCACATACACTGTACAGTGACATCCTAATGACTGACCTCTCTGCCACCAAGTTCCCCCTGGTCCAGTGCACCTTCCACACTGCTGCCAGAGACACTGCCCTATAAAATATAGCTGACATCTCTTATAGACCAAACCTGACCTCCTTACCTTAGCATTTAAGACACTTGACAACTAGACCCCAAACTGCCCTTGCAGCCTTACCTCCGGCCACTCCATCAAACCTCACCACTTTCCAAAACACTGGGCCCTTCTGTAGCTTCAATGAGAGCACACAGAGAAAAAACTGACACAATCCAAAAAGGTATACAAAACACACAAGTAGACGGAACCAAACTGAGCCCTGTACACAGTCTCCTTTGCCTCCAATGCCCTGTGACTTCCTTGCCCGGCACTGGATACCTGTACCTGATTTGTACTGGCCTCTCCCTTCCCCGGACAGAGTGATCTGTGCTTCATCTTAGGAGCTGCCAGGTCTTTGTTCGTGATTCTATGATAGCGTTCACCCCATTACGTCCTAACTTATTTTTCATAGACATTTTATCCCCTCCTCAAGGACAGTTGTGCCCAGTCTTCCTTTCCCTGCCTAGTATATGACCTAAGTCCTGGCATGTAGGTGTCAAACAGACCTGGAAAAGCTGAACTCAGTGTGCTCCTGCGATGCAGTTAGAGCAGTTCATCCAGATGTGGGGCCCCACAAATTGCACAGGAGCCCTAGGTCCCAGGTCCAGCTTGGCTCTAGGTGTGTGACCTTGGGTAAGTCACTCAGTCTCATTTAGTAAACAAGGGGGTTGGACTAAATGATCTCTGAGGCCCCTTCGACTCTAAGTTCTATGATTCTGACCCCGTTTCTTGAACCAGGAACCACATTTCCTCCCTTTCAACTCAGGAGCCTCAACATAGCCAGGCAGCCGTCCCCATTACTCAGACGGACTTTCAGACTCTCAAATAGTCTTCGGGTGCCAGCCAGAGCTGCTTGCTCAGGCTCCTGTTGGCTTATCCAAGGACCACTGGCCTGTTCTTCCCCCTCTCCAGGAGCTTCACTGCACCTCCAGCACCTCCCCCTGCCGTGTAGCTGGCCCTCCCCAGGCAGAGCCCTTCTTTGTGCTGGTCTAAGGGCCAACAGCAAGGAGGCAGAAGGAAAGCAGGTTTTACTGTTTCCCTTTACTCCAGATCCCACCAACATTACAGCTGCTGCCATGTGGGTTCTTGGTTACATACATGTTTTCAGGGGGTGATGCCCATTTCCTTGAGAAATAAATTTTAAGCAGCTCATGTGCCTCTTCGAGGCTACTTGTAAAGTCCACTGCTGACATTTTGGGGGTGGGAGATGGGCTAGAGTTAGCAACTCAACAGGTACATTTGCCATAATCTCCATGTAATAAATAAGAGCCTATGAAAAGATTAAATAAATCTTTCCTAATGCTTTTTGATTGACTTAATCAATAATTAATCATCTTTAGATGAGGCTGTAACTCGTGGAGTAGATATAATTGGATTAGCTGAAAAGAGGCAGTTGGGGAGCTTTGAAGAGATTAAAATGGCTGTCAATCCCATAATTAAACTGCCACAAACAAAAGCAATGGTGTTTAAAAAAAAAAAGGCGAAGAGAAAGAGAAGGAAATAAAAGAGAGGGAGAAGGGAGAAAGTTGGGGAAGGCCAGTTGACTTGGATTGAATCGAGAAGTACTTATGTATTGCTAGAGATTGAAGAGGCAGAATCAAATCTGACAGATTTATTCCACTGAATGAAATTCATACATATCAAATCAGCCACTTGATTGTAGGCCTGGCCCACTGGGACCCGTGAAATTTTGGCAGCTTCAACTTCACTAAAACAACGAATCCACAAAAGGGAAAAAAAAAAAAAGTTAATTATTAAAAACAGAAGAGACCTGCTCCTTGTCCTGAGCCCGTTTAGACCTTGACTTTTCATACTTTTAATTGGCTTAGTAGGTTTGGCCTGTGTGAATGAAGTCTTTTATCTCCCTCTTTTTCTTTCCATGCCCCTTTCATCTTTCCTGTTACAAACACACAGAGAGCTTGAGGAAAAATACTTTGGTTTTTAAAGACTTTTCTTTTTAAAAGGATGTGGATTTGGGCGGGGGGAGGGGGCGTGTGTGTGATGCTGGTGAATACTTTTTTTTCTCTCTTTTATCTCTTTTTCCAGAGAGGAGTTGCTTAAACCAATGGGACTAAAACCTGACGGGACAATAACGCCTTTGGAGGAAGCACTCAACCAGTACTCGGTCATCGAAGAGACCAGCTCTGACACAGACTAAAAGCGTCACCTGCCCAACTCTCAATATTGCTTTTATCGGCATCTTTTCTCTGTAGCTCCAGGGGAGTCTTTTCTCTAAAACATTTATGCCCTTGCTTTGGCTAGAAACACATTAACTGGTTTACTCATTGAGAATCCAGCATATTTAAGAGGTGATCCTGTGTTTTTGCGATACCGAGGCATTCGTACAGAGCGGCAGTTAGATGGAGTCGCAGGGGCTAAAAACACAGACAAAGAGGAATTCCATTTCATCAGGATGGGACTGAAAGGACTTCGTTGTGCAAAGCAGCCCTGGTTGAATCTGGCCATTCTGTTTGCCAAGGTTCTTAGAAGATTTAGTCGCGTCCTTCCTCTCACTTGTGAAAGCCGCCCTCCGGAATCTCTCCAGCAGTCGGAGGGAGGCACGTGAGAAGCAGAACGAGCTGCTACATAAGGGCTGAGGCAAGTGACTTCTTAGGTCGGGACTGACTACGTGGCAGCCAAGCAGCTGCTCCATAAACCTAGCCCCACTCTTCATTTCAATTTTGTATAAAAATGTGGAAATGCACACACAGACACGCGCGCACACAGCCCCAGACTTGCAAACTGAGTACATTCTGAAAGTTTGTATGTCGCTTATCTAGAACTTCAGAATACATTTCTCCCCATAAAGGGTTATAAATGATGGTTTAGTTCTGAGGCAGCTACAAATGCCTATTTATTCCCTTATGTACCTTAACACTAGAACCGCAGAACTGAGCCCCCGTCTGTAGCACCGCGTGGGAGCGTGCATTCTGAGGTCTAACCCCGGGTGCCTGGAACACACGTCCTCCAATCCAGCGGCGAGGATGGGGACTCCCCGAGTACGGGGGGTTCCGGTGTGGCCTCTGCCGGGGGTAGAGGGAGTCAGCGGCACCCGTCTGTACATATAGGCCATTCATATGTCACAGGTTTTAACTTGGGGACCGTGTGTGCGCGCCTGTGTGTGTGTTCAGCCTTTCTACCCTATGTGATCAGTTTAATGGTAACTTTATTTATTAAAAAAAAAAAAAAAGAAACACAAATAGTTACTGTTAAACTGATTAAAGCTGTTTATTTTTACTTCTAGAATTGGTCATAGGAGGAAGTAGAAAATGAATCCTACAGTAGACAGTGGGCCTAGTCAGTCAGTGGCTAAAGCCTAAAGGGGTTGGTTTCCTTTTATATATGTATGTATGTAGAAAATACACACATACATATATACAAATAGATGATGTGCTTAACCACTGCCTTTTAAAACTTTAAATTAAATAAAACATTGGGGTTGATTCAATGTAGCCATTTGTGTGTGTTTCTTTATAGATACCTGGCTGGGGGTAGACAACAGTTCAGAGTTTGTGCTTCTTTCAAGTGCTTTCACACCCATTATCTCACCACAATATCCCTAGGTAAAGTACACGGACTATTAATGAAAAATGTCATTTATCCAGAAGTCACTGCTCTGGCAAAACAGGTCAGGGATGGAACTTTAAAAGGCCTTTGAGCTGCCAAAAGAGGTCACTAGAGTTTCTTGCAGTTTACTCAGAGGAGAGAGCCTCAAGAATCTCTTTTTACCTATTTCCTGAAGTTTGCATACACTTATAACAAGTTGAGTTATCTGGCTTTCAAGCCCATAAAAAGTGGCAAAGGAGGCCAATAGATGGAAGACAGGTCTACCGAAAGCCACTGAAGGTCAATAGCAAACTGGGCGGGAAGGCAGAGAGAAGGAAGAACGCTACTCCAGGCATCAGCAGTCTGGGACAGTCTGTTTCCCAAAGGACAGTCTGGTTGACCCGGAAAGATCTGTACAAACTACAGCCCCTAGACAGATTCTCACAGAGATGACCCAGAGTTTACTTTTAAAAACTGAGTAAATCCAGAATACTCCAGAATAAGGCTAGGAAGAATAAAACACACTCCACGATTTTCATCCCAATGGTTAGAGAAGGGGTGGGTAACCCATGTTTTAACAGTAAACGAAATGAAACTTGGCAGTTCATAAGTCTAGATTATGTGGAAACGGTTTTTTAAAAAAAGTATTCTTGTTACTTCATTCTACAAATGCATTTTTAGAGTATTTTTATAATTTCCACCATCAAACAGCTTTGGCCTGAAGACATGTCTACTGAACGAGCATCTTGCCAGCGTGTGCAGAGTGTCCGAATGCACCTGTGTAAGTGGCTGTGCTCCTGTGCTTTCAAGGAGTTTGGGTTCCCTCTGAGGTTCCCCACACCGGGCACGAAGCTCTGTTTTTGAAGAGAGAACTTGCAGGGGGAGACGAGGGACCTCGTTTTGCTCACGGAAAGAGAGCTAACATCTGCAGAGTGCTTACTAAGGGCTGGGCTTTTCGTGTCTCTTCCCACGTCTATGTAACCTCACCACATCTCATGTGGGAGACCATCTCGGGAAGGCCTCAGTTTCCCGGGGTCACAGCAAGTAGGAGTCCAAGCTGGTCAGCCCAACTTCTAGCACCTCCTGCCCCTTCCCACCCTGACCACCCGGGCCCTCGCTCTGCCTCCTAGGATGCTGGACAGGGGGCGTTCTCAGGCCACTTTAAGCAATAACCATTTCAGCCAGAACAGTTTAAGGAACTTGCTAAGCACGGAGGGGACCTGCAGATGAACTGGGACTGGGAAACTTGCTCAGGACTGGATTTCAAACAAGGCCCTGGGATCCTTTGGGTCAGAGACGTGGGCTGCTAGCTTTCCCCAGACAGGTGCTCGCCACGGTGGCCTGCAGCGGGGAGGGGGGAACACGCTGGCCACCCGCACTCTGCGGCCCGAGTGCCCACAGCCCTCCTGACCTCCGACACAGTATGGAAGCCTGCGTCCTAAAGTAAGGCACTCAAGCCACGGCTTTAGAGTAGCAAACCACAGACGCGTAGGGCCCCTCCCTGCACCCACTGTCCTGGGAGGTGGGCAGGCGGGTTCTTTTCCCTCCTTTATAAATGGGGACACTGCCTGAGGCAGTGCAAGTCCTGAGTGCCCCCTTATCATCGCATCAGTCTGGCCGCCTCCCAGTACTAGGTGTCAGGTGTCCCCTGTATGGACATCTCCCCACCCCACCCCCGCCATTATAAAGGTAATATAGATGTTCACTGGTTAAAGTTTGGAAAATATGGAAAATTAAAGTTAATTCACCCAAATCCCACCACCGAGATAATCACCTGTTGATGTTTCAGTGTGTATCTGTCCTGTATTTTTTTCTATGCATATATAACTTATTTTATTACAAGATGGGGCTCATACTGTATTTGCAGATTTGTATTTTCTTCTTTAACATATTGTGAGCATTTTCCCATGTCAATAAATATTCTTCAAAAAGTAATGACTAGATAATATTCCATTCCATGAACTGTGGTAGACACTGCTAATTGCCTACCCAATAGTATTCTTCCTTGCTAACACAGAAGACGTCATGGCCCTTCCCTCCTCTCCCAAACCCCCCCCCGCCCCCCCCGCCAAGAAAAAGGTACTGGTGCCTTCCTAGGAGGCAGCATTGAAGAGCAACTGGAACTAGGAATGGCTCCAAGAGCAGATGTGCCCCAGCGTACAGCACCAACTCCGCAGACGCCTCAGCGGCACAAACCATGACCTGCTTAGATTAAGTGCCCAGAGACTTCTATGGTTTCAGTCAAGGAGAGGCATTTAGCAGTAGCAAGGTATCCAGATGGCTTTTAGAAGTCTGCATGGGAAGTGTCAGTGTTGAGAGCTGTACAGCCCAGATAGGGACAGGCATTTTCCTGGCGATACTCTTCATAGCAGTCCCAGAGGAGAGAGGGCACAAGAATGGGGGACACGGGCTGTTCTTTCAGGAAAAGGGGACACCTGTCAACTACTGGGTATGTGTTGAGCACAATGTGAATTAGGAACAAGTGAATGGTGTTCTAGGAACAAATCACAGGAGCAAGAGAGAGAGATTTCAGCCGTCCTTAGAAGGCTGGAGAAAATGAAGTTTCCAGGGAGGATAGGCAGCACTATGCTGAGCCCTGCACCAGATCTTCAAGAAGCACCAGAGCAGCCTTTCTTAAAGGGGAAGGGTGTGGAGAGAGGACTAAGCCTCAATGCCCTGAATCAAGCATTGCACACAGTCAGTCAACTCTCTCACACATCTAGAATGGCGCTGGTTATATAGCATTCTCAGGGGAGAAAAGAGATGCTGGTCATTTTGTGAGTTCTGTGGTTCATGCGAACCATGGCTGAGAAAGTCTAACTGAAAGAGATTATTAGCCAAGCTTCTGGAGTCAGATTTATGTTGTCTTTTAACACAGTGCAGTGAAGATCAGGGTCAAAAGACTCCAGGTCTCACAGACCTTTATCTTTTCTACATGGAGCATGATTTCAGCTGTGTATATTTATGTACTGAGCAATCACTATGCCAGATACCGAGCTAAGCACTTTACATGCACTTTCTAACTTCACTGTCATAACAATCTTATGAAAAAACTATTGTAATAGCCACTCAGTTGAGAGCACCAAGGCATAAAGAGATCGATTACCTGTGAACAGATCGATTACCTGTGAACAAGCGCACAGTCATTAAGTAGCAAAACTTGAACTCAAGTCTGTCTGATGTCCATATAAATGCTAGGTTATGTGTTGCTTTTACAATCAGAAAGATGAAATGAAGTCTTATTATTTGGGAGAAAAAGTGTCAAAAGAGAATTAAATGGAAAAAATAGAAATGGGAAAATAATTTAATATGTTTTTCTCATTCCATTTCCATAGCTCTACAATAAAATACATTTAAAAAACTTTTTATTTAATGTTTTTTATTTATTTCTGAGAGAGAGAGAGAATGAGCAGAAGAAGGTCAGAGAGAGAGGGAGACACAGAATCTGAAGCAGGCTCCAGGTTCTGAGCTGTCAGCACAGAGCCCAACGCGGGGCTCGAACCCACAAACCGTGAGACGATGACCTGAGCCGAAGTCGGACGCTTAACGGACTGAGCCACCCAGGCGCCCCTACAATAAAATACACTGAATCCTATTCAGGAGCTAGTCTCCAAGAGACCTGTACTCATAACCATACCAATCTACATCAATTTGTTCGGTAAATATCTAGTGGGAATCTACTATGTACCAGGCACTGTCTCAGGTACTTGGATATACAAACGTAGCTAACTGTTCCTTTCCTCCTTGTCTGAGAAGTCCGTCACCAAAGCCTGCATCCCAGTGCTTGCTTACAGGACACCAGGGGAAGCGGGGCTGTCACCGGCCAGGAGGATTGTGGGGGTGATTAACAAGATCTCACAGATGACGTCTGAGTGGAGCCTGAGCTTGCCATGTATGGGAGAAAGACTGTTCCAGCCAAAAGAACTCGCTCAAACAAAAGCTCATAGGCAAAAGGCACAGGACGTGTTTGCAGAACACCAGCAGTTAAGTGGGACTAAAACAAAGGTATCCCAGCTCTCACGACGGGACACAGGCGTAGCAGCATCTCAGGCAAGGAAAGGACACAGTGAGAAAAGTCTGCAGTATAGAGGGCAGACTGGAGAGGAACAGACAGTAGGAAGAGAGACTGGATAGATCGGGGTCACATCAGTGCCTGTGAGGGCCTGGACCGGAGCAGTAGCAGTAGGTGCAGAAGAGCGATGAAGTCAGGAGGCACTTAGAAGCTGGAATAATGGGGCACCTGGGTAGCTTCGTCGGTTAAGCGTCCAACTTTCGCTTAGGTCGTGATCTCGCGGTTCGTGGGTTCAGGCCCCGCATCGGGCTCTGTGCTGACTGCCAGCTCAGAGCCTGGAGCCTATTTCCAATTCTGTGTCGCCCTCTCTCTCTGACCCTCCCCTGCTCACGCTGTCTCTATCTCTCTCTCAAAAATAAATAAAACATTAAAAAAATTTTTTTAATTAAAAAAAAAAAAAAGCTGGAACAAATACCAGTGTATGTATGGCAAGAAAGAGCTCATTTCAAATCCAATGAGAAGGACTTAGGGGAGAAGGTTGCTAAGGCAGTGGCTGCCAACAGGTGAACAAAGCATCCTTGGGTCTGGGAATAGGCGAGTGGCGCTGCGAGTTATTTAATTTCAAGGAATCT